CTAAATATCTTAGCTCTAGCTCTTTGGGTTCTTTAAAAGAAGAATTTTTAAGTTTTTACTATATGCATATAGGGAAAATCAATGACCCCCTGGGGCGGGGCCAATTTTGACCCCAGGGCATTTATTTGAACAAACTTGGTAGAAACTCACTAGAAGATGTTATATGCCAAATATCTAAGCTCTAGCTCTTTGGGTTTTTAAAAAGAAGATATTTAAAGTTTTTTCTTTCGGTTGCCATGGCAACCAGAGTTCTGCATGGAATTAAATTCTTTGAACAATTTTTAAAGGTGACCACCAAAGGAACATTCCTGTGAAGTTTGGATGAAATTGGCTTGGTGGTTTATGAGGAGATGTCATTTAAAGTAAAAGTTTACGGACGGACGACGGAGGGAGGGACGGACGAAAAGCGATCACAAAAGCTCACCCTGTCACTTTGTGACAGGTGAGCTAAAAACATTAAGTGACAGAAGTTTCGGAACTATTGGTCCAAAATTGTGGAATCCGCTGCCATTAGAGTTGAAACAATCTAAGAATATTGATGTATTTAAGAGAAATCTTAAAACACATTTTTTCAGAAAGTTTGAATCACTAATGAGAAATACATGAGTAATGTATAACTGATGACTGACAGTGTGATGAATGTGCAATGTAAATGAATGTTTTATTCTTTTTAATCTATTTGTAATCAAGTTACATGTATGTAAATAATCTTATCTCATGCTACATGTATATCAATCAGTTTTATCATTTTATGGTCTCTGCAATTTTTTAGAAATATGTTAATTGGAATTGTATGTAAAAGCTTTTATTTCATTTGATGTTGATCCACATATTCTTATGCGATCACAGTTTTATTCTTGTTGTTTATATGTACTGTACAACGCCGTTGAATATTGTTAAATAGAAACAGGCGTTTAATTAAATAAAAAGTTTCAAGTTTCAAGTTTCTGTACATGCAACATTGCAATTTTACTAACACGTCAACTTATCATCTGAAAAAGAAAAAGTTTGGTTTCAGTATCAATATACATTATCTTAAAAAATTGTCAACGTATACAATTTACTTGTATATGTCGACAAAAGGTTGCTAATACAACGTGAATCGTTTGTAAACAGCGACTAATCGGTTAATAAAAAGCATTTAGTCCAACAATATTTCAAATATATACATGTATCATAATTAGGAATCATCAGAGACATAGATAAGCAGATTATAATATCACTCGTGCAAAATTGGGCATTTATTTTGTAGCAAATAAATCTGTATTGATATACATTTTCCTCCTTTATATTATTCACCATTATATAATCCTATGGATGGGCATAATGTCACTAACTTTCCTAGTCTTACAAACACATAGCAGAACATAGCCATTTTTTCGTCTTAAAAATAATTTTGTAAAAAAAGAAATAAGTAGTTTTCAACTTTTCGTTGTTATTTAAATGGGGATTGTCTAGTTTTTGCAACTGGTTTACTTGCTACAAGCACGTATATAGTCGTGGGTTGGTCAGACCACAGGCACGAGTATCGGACATGGAAAATATAACTACATTGATAATAAACTCATATGTTAATGTTAGATGCGTCAAGAACAAAACAAGAGGGCCATGATGGCCCTGAGGTCGCTCACCTGTATATAGGCCCCCCCACCCCCGGGCCAATTTTTATCCAAGGGCTTTTATTTGTTTATTTGAACAGACTTGGTAGACACCCATAAGAGGATGTTTCATGCTAAACATTTAAGTTCTAGCTCATTGGGTTTTTAAAAGAAGATTTTTAAAAGTTTTTACTATACACATATAGTTAAAAACAAATGACACCCTGGGGCAGGGCCAGTTTTGACCCCCGGGCTTTTTATTTGAACAAACTTTGTAGATATTTACTTAAAGATGTTTCATGCTTAATATCTAAACTCTAGCTATTTGGGTTTTTTCATAGAAGATTTTTAACTTTTTGCATATACACATATAAGGAAATCAATGACACCCCCCCCCCCCCCCCCCCCCCCGGGCGGGGCCAGTTTTGACCCCAGGGCTTTTATTTGAACATACTTGGTAGACACCCATTAGAACATGTTTCATGCTAAATATCTTAGCTCTAGCTCTTTGAGTTCTTTAAAAGAAGATTTTTTAAGTTTTTACTATATGCATATAGGGAAAATCAATGACCCCCCGGGGTGGGGCCAATTTTGACCACAGGGCTTTAATTTGAACAAACTTGGTAGACACTCACTAGAAGATGTTTCATGCTTAATATCTTAGCTCTAGCTCTTTGGGTTCTTTAAAAAAGAAGATTTTTTAAGTTTTTTTACTATATGCATATAGGGAAAATCAATGACCCCTGGGGCGGGGCCAATTTTGACCCCAGGGCTTTTATTTGAAACAAACTTGGTAGACATTCACTAGAAGATGTTTCATGCTTAATATCTAAGCTCTAGCTCTTACGGTTCTTTAAAAGAAGATTTTTTAAGTTTTTACTATATGCATATAGGGAAAATCAATGACCCCCCTGGGCGGGGCCAATTTTGACCCCAGGGCTTTTTATTTGAACAAAACTTTGTAGACACTCACTAGAAGATGTTTTATGCCAAATAATCTTTAGCTCTAGCTCTTTGGGTTCTTTAAAAGAAGATTTTTTTAAGGTTTTTACTATATGCATATAGGGAAAATCAATAACCCCTGGGGCGGGGCCAATTTTGACCCCCAGGGCTTTTATTTGAACAAACTTGGTAGACACTCACTAGAAGATGTTCACTAGAAGATGTTTCATGCTTAATATCTTAGCTCTAGCTCTTTGGGTTCTTTAAAAGAAGATTTTTTAAATTTTTACTATATGCATATAGGGAAAATCAATGACCCCCTGGGGCGGGGCCAATTTTGACCCCAGGGCTTTTATTTGAACAAACTTGGTAGACATTCACTAGAAGATGTTTCATGCTTAAATCTAAGGCTCTTCTACCTCTTACGGTTCTTTAAAAGAAGATTTTTTAAGTTTTTACTATATGCATATAGGGAAAATCAATGACCCCCCTGGGCGGGCCAATATCGGCGGGGGGGGCGGGGGGGCTGCCGGGTGGGCGGCCAGGGCTCTTTCGAAGCGGACATTTGTCCAAAAACAAGCGAACTTGGGAGACACTCACTAGAAGATGTTTTCATGCCAAATATCTTTAGCTCTAGCTCTTTTGGGTTCTTTTAAAAGAAGATTTTTTAAGGTTTTACTATATGCATATAGGGAAAATCAATAACCCCCTGGGGCGGGGCCAATTTTGACCCCAGGGCTTTTATTTTGAACAAACTTGGTAGACACTCACTAGAAGATGTTTCATGCCAAATATCTAAGCTCTAGCTCTTAGGGTTGTTTAAAAGAAGATATTTAAAGATTTTTCTTTCGGTTGCCATGGCAACCAGAGTTCTGCATGGAATTAAATTCTTGAACAATTTTTAAAGGTGACCACCAAAGGAACATTCCTGTGAAGTTTGGATGAAATTGGCTCAGTGGTTTATGAGGAGATGTCATTTAAAGCAAACGTTTACGGACGGACGACGGACGGACGGACGCCGGACGAAAAGCGATCATTAAAGCTCACCCTGTCACTTTGTGACAGGTGAGCTAAAAAAGTGAAAGATACGCCCCCCTTTAAAATATACTTTTAGTGAAGAGAACTTATAGTATATTTTAAAGGGGGCATATATTTCACCTTTTTTGACAAATTGACGAACAAAGAGGTTTTTGTTATTTTCTTCCCGGGTCCGATAATCGTGCCTTTGGCTCAGGTTACAGCATAAAAATTTCACAATAGTGGCCTCAATGAACAATGGACACGTGAATTGACATGACTGCCTTACTTATCTATTATTTTAACTTCAAAGTCACATGGCAGGTGATTTTGTCGACATCTATATATATAGAATTTATATGGAATTTTAAAAAAATTTTAGCGTGATTTGAGTACATTTAATCATTTTAATATTTTTGTCATTTGCCCGAGTATCCTTTTAAAGGAATAATGAAAAAACAAAAAACGTGTTGGTACGCCCTTTCACCAGATATCCGTAAAGTAAACGCGTAGACGCTTTGGTTATTATTAAAACATGAAAAAGAACCTGATTTTCGGAACACAAGAAACGAACTTAATCTGCAAAATAACAAAATAATTCAATTTATTATTAATTAATTATTTGAATTTAACTGGGAAGTGACATGGAGGCTCGCGGAAATTCTCTCTCGGAGTGACTCGCTATAACTCGTCTCTCGGAGTCACTCTTATTACGCGTTTCACACGCGGAGTCACTCGTTTTTAATGCAAAATACTCTCACGGAGTTGCGAGTGAATTCCTCGATCCTCCGAGAAATTTGCATATTCCTCGTTATCTGTACTGTAGTGATAATTCTGTATAAGGAAAAAAAACAAAGGGCCATAATTATGTCAAATATTATCCAATCACAAAACCCCAACAATATGCGCCAGGGCACTTGATAACAAAGTTTCTGTGAAAGTTTGGTCAAAATTCCTTGAGAAATGTAGGAGAAGTTGCACATGGTAGAAATCGTTCACTATATATTCTATATAAGGAAAAACAACAAAGGGCCATAATTAGGTCAAATATTATCCAATCACAAAACCCAGACAATATGTGCCAGGGCACTTGATAACAAAGCTTCTAAAAAAGTTTGGTCAAAATACCTGAGAAAAATGTAAGGAGGACTTGCGCACGAAAGAAATTGTTCACTAATATTCTATATAAGAAAAAAAAACAAAGGGCCATAATTAGGTCAAATATTATCCAATCCTAAAAACCCTTACAATATGCGCCAGCGGTACTTGATGACAAAGCTTCTGTGAAAGTTTGGTCAAATCCGTTGAGAAATGTAGGAGTTGCGCACAGAAGAAATTGTTTACGCTCGCCTGTCCGCGCCGCCCGCCGACATACCTCAAGCTAATAACCAGTTTTTTCCTTTGGAAAACCTGGTTAAATAACTGATAATGAAACAAATTGATCTATTTCTCCTGTTCAGCACTAGCTTCAACTATCATTGTAGATTCGCTTTTTCCTACGGAATTCAATGACTTAACTTGTTCACTTTCTTTATCTTCAGTAGAATCACTTATTTCTTCAATTAATGGTTTCCCTTTCCTGCAATGTGTATCAGTCACTTTACTATTACCTGTATCAACTGCATCTCCTACAAATTCTAGTGACTCGGCACAGATTGTCTCCCTAATGTTTTTGTTTTCACAGTCAATATCACTCTTACCATTTCCAGATACACCAGTTACCTTTCTTATATCACCTTCAGTGTGGTGGTCATCACCAGCATCATCTGATGATGATAAATCATCACTGTCTATATCATCACTATCACTCTCAGTGTCAGATTCATCACTTTCAGAATCACTTTCCAACTTATTTTTCTTATTTACATCAATGCTACTTAATCTGTCAGTCAGGTTTTCTACATCGCTGGATTCTTCACCGAGCATTGCATGCTGCGCTAGTTTTTCAAGCTCTGGTAAGTTGAAACCTATGTCGTCTTTGCTGATTTTCAACTGAAATAGAATAATGGACAAATATTAAAATACAACACATGGAGCAAGATTTTTCTCAGTACTAAATAGTGGCATGAATCCAGGCCCTAAAGTGTATCAAACTATACCTGATGAAATATTTTATAGAAATTTTAAAACAGTAAAAAAAATGTTCTATAAACCTTATGGTCATTTCTTGTAACAATGTCTATGAAATTTCAAAGACATGAATATTGTATGTAAACAGAATAAAAGTTCCCGAACAAAATATTCAGCTGCTATTTTTAGTAAGTTTGACAATGATTTTACATATGCCCATCTCACTTTCAATAAAATATACTGACAAATTCTTTAATTTGAGGTATTCCGAAATCACTGTAAATACATTATAAACAATAATTTTGACAATCCACAGGCAGTAAATTTTAAGCTTATAAAAAAATATTTCTGAGCTCCGATTCAAATCTTAGGATTTTCATTGAGTGTAAAAAATAACATTATAACTGCACTGACTTGATAATGTTAAAATGCTGTATTAAATCATGTTATGTAAATAAACCAAACGCTATAATGACCATTTTTCTGCTCAATGTAGTTCAACATTATTTCACCCATTCTCTTTTAATGACCATATTAGAGTGGAAATAGATATCAGTTTTTTCTTGCATTTTTGTTGCACAATGTTTAAACATGGTTTATAGCTCAAATGCTAAATGTAATTAATCACTAGTCTTAGGCCAGTCCGACTTTCATGATTATATTATTGCACATTCAGCCTTTTAACCATCCATAATTCTTCAACTACAAGAATCCTATTAAAAAACATCAGTGCAGTCCCATACAAGTAATAGTATCAAAATAAATACCTTCGATAAAGCTTCTGATAATGACTGCAACTTTTTCTCACTGTAAAAAAAATTCTTGTATTAAACATAAGGGTTTAGTTTGATGAACATTTTATCTCGAGTCTTTTTTGTTTGGTTGGTCAGTTTTTACTCATATAATAACTTAATTTTGGTTATATTCTGGCTTGTTTGTTTGGGTTTGCGCACCAACACATATGTCATATGGTGGCGAAACACGGAAGATATTTTGGCTAACTTCAGGTGTTAAAATCTTCAAAGCAACACCGGGAGACAAAACCACCTCACCTGCTGGAGATAATAAGAGATGCATAAACACCAATTATTCAATCCCATATCCAATTTAGTGGCCTCTTGCCTTCACTCAGGGATAAAACTGGGGCTACAATTCTGATGCCTCAACCATTAAAGGCAACCCCTCAGCCACAAAGTATGTATATTGTGCATATAAATGTAAACAGTCTATGGTACATTACCTGGCTGACTGAATCCACACACAGTAATCTGTTATATAAAGGTCATTGAGTACATAACGACAATCCTGATCCATCAATATACCTCGTATCTCCAGTAATACCTTTAACACGCTTCTCCTACCTAAATTACAACAATCAAATTGCAGAAAATATAAAATATATCACCTTTACAAATGTAAAATAATTCTTTCACACTTTAATCTGAAACCTTAAAACTTCTCTTAATGACAATAGAAGTCAAGAAAAAATACAAACACAAATTATTACAAGCTTTGCGTGAAGTCTTATTTTTAAATAACTTTTCCCAATTCAGTCAGTCACTCATGTGTCCGTAAAATTTCATCAACTAAATCAGTTAGGAAAAATTATATAAAATCAAAGTAACTTTTAATAAAGTTAACAGTTGAGAAAAGCATTTTCATCATTGAGGTGTATTCACTTAATTTGAAGCAATATCCAATAAGAATTGAACTAGAAACGTGTCCATAGAACATGATTGCCCCTACATTCTACCATTTTGTCACCCTACAGGCCGACAGTGTGACAGACCAGGGCAAATCTATATAACCCACCCCCAGTTGTAGCATAAAAAAAGATTTTCATCAAAATCTGATCTAAATCTGTGCTATTTAAAGCATTTTCCACAATGCAATTTACCAAAAATAAAAATCATTTCGGACTTGCCATCCTGAGTATGATATCTTTCCAACTTTAATGTCTATGGAAATCATGAGATGTACGCTCAAGAACTCATTTCTGGCCTAAGTAAACAGTTAAAACCATCAATTATCAATTCTGTTTCGCAAATATGATACATGTGTGCCAAACAATAGATACTTTTTCTCTATAACTCCTGATATGATGCATTTTGAAACTTCTTTATTTAATCACAAAATAAACCTTTTACACCATATAGAATCCAGATTAAAATGAAACTGTTTTAACCTAGTTGTAATATAGTAACAACATCCTTCAATACTGATTGGTTCAGTTTCCAATGTCTATACAATGGGTAACATATACTTCTTCGGAAGCAACTTCTTACAACATCTTCTAAGCTTGTAAACACCTGAATAAGAAATATATGAAATACACATACATGCAGGGTTCTCGGGGACGCTTATTTCAGCGTCCCGGTACGCATGTTTATTACAGCTGGACGCAAATATTTCAGAGCAAGGATTCCACGTACGCTTAATTTTGCCTGGGGACGCATAAACATTACCGGTTGTTTACAACCACAAATACACAAATGCGTCAGCGCTTGTCAGTCTATAGGTAGGCGGTCCTATGCACATCGACCCGTGAAGCGATTAGCCAATCAGCGGTAACGCTTCCGATCATTATCACGCAATAGTGATCAGACTAATGTATACACGCGCTGTACAGTACATGTAATTACCAGATATAACACTAGGTGATAATTTCATATCTTTGACCAACAGTTGATTGGAAATTATCAATTTTACCGACAAAAGGATAAAATTATCGACTATTTATGCCACAAGTTTTAAAGACTGTTTTCTCAAATTACAAATGAGTGATAATTTTGAATGATTGTCAAATATTTTCGGCATTTTCTAGGCACAATTTTGCTTTAGTTTCATTCTTGCAAAAACTTTTTATAAGAGTATTAAGAATTTAAGATATTGTGCCGAAATGCCAGGTACACATACGCTTTTCTTTGATATTTAGATTCTATCCGAAAATTGATCCCGAACATCGGCGATTTCACGTTCACCAGAAACCCTAAAATTTCGCAAAAATTCTCGGTATCCAAGGCAAACATGCGAATATTATTTAATCAACATTAAATCTTTAAATATTGATCTTCAATTTGCCCCCTTTTGAAGATATTTGCTAAAATAATTGTCGATCGGATGAATCTCTTACACACTGTGTGAAGCTGTACACGATTTTCCTATTCATTCCGCTAAACGTTGCCTATATACATTTACGTTTTTTTTAACAAATACAAACTTTTTGTCTTTAGAGTGGACTTATTTAACCAGAATAAAATTTGATTTGGTATAAAAGTGAAAAAAAACAACATTTCCATGTGTTGATGCATTATAATGAAATAATTTTATAATAAATATTAACAACAAAACAATAATTATACTATGTAGTTCTGAGTTTCTTTTTAATAACTATAAACTTTGGAAGTCTCTTGAAGATTCAAAATATCAGCAATGCTATTGTGAGCATTGAATGACTAATCTGTAAACATTTTGATTGCGACGCGCTTTTGGACTCCAACTTTTTCAGGGTTGGGAGTCCATGGACTCCATGTTTTAAAGTCCTAGTGAGAACCCTGTACATGTATACATAAATTACTTGTTTCTAAAACTAGAAGATCAGAAAACAAATTGTCTGCTTTACTAATTTACATATGAGCCGCGTCATGACAAAACCAACATAGTGCATTTGCGACCAGCATGGATCCAGACCAGCCTGATCAGGATCCATGCTGTTCGCTATCAGCTTCTCTATTTGTAATAGGGTTTGTAAGCGAACAGTATGGATCCAGATCAGACTGTGCGGATGCGCAGGCTGGTCTGGATCCATGCTGGTCGCAAACGCAATTCTTTGGTTTTGTCATGACGCGGCTCATATAGAGAGCAGACCAGTAGATTAGAGGTATCGAGGGGTTTCTTTATTGTTCATGTATTTTATCAATGGTAATTTTCATTCTCTACCTTAATTATTTCGATTTGACAATTACCAGTATATGAAATGATTTATCTAAAAATATATAAACATATTAAACCTTTAGAAAACCTGAATGAGGTCAATTGTCACAGAGAAACTTAGTCTCTGGGGTTGAACCAGCAATCCTCGGATAACTAATTCCACATTGCCCCTATTGAGCTACAGGGTCGAATATATATAAACTTACATTAGTCTAGAAAATATTGATAAAGTGATTTAAGTGTTAGTGTACGACAAAGATTGTAAGATCTAAGGTCTAAGGTCTTCTTTAACATTATTAAAATCCAAAGTTTCTATAGAAAAGTTAATCAGGAAGAACTTATCGTGTACAAACCTCTAACCATGACAATGTTGAGCTGATTTTACAAATGGTCCAACCAGATTCACACTGAAATTGAAAGTGGGACAAAATTCACACAAAGTATTCACAGTCATTACATTTGATGCAAATTCATGTTTTTAAAGTCCATTATGTCCAAGGAATGATTTTTTATTCATATTTTTAAAAAAAAAAAATCTATTTTTGGTGTCATGTTATAGTTTCAAAAATGCTACTCATTAGTCAATTACCTATTATTTTTTTCTTCTGATGCCTTTTGGCAATTGGTACAGTTAAAGTAATTTTAATATTTTGTATGGAAGCCAAAATACTACCTTGTTTACATTTCGCTACTTTTATGACAAACAATTATAAATTCAAATGTACTTACTTCATGTGATAAGCATCTAACAACTCTAAAACCATTATTTTTATATATATGCTCATGTTTGCCTTTTCTAAAGAAGGAAAAACTATTAATTTCTAGGATAGGAATAATGGGATTTTGGCAAATGAACAATGCCAACTGAAGTCTTTATGTCGGAATATTTTAGGAAAGAATTAGTTTAAGGATACTTACATTATTTTCACCTTCAGTTGTTCTATGGTTGTAACAATATGCATAGAGAATATCCACTAGTCCAAGGTATACACCTGTTTCCTCCGTAGAATCCAAAATATCTTAGTAAAAGTTAAGGGTCTTTTCTCAAACTTTATATAAATATCATGCTAACACATAACAAAATTTATATGAGGAAATAAATTTTTAGGTTTAAAGCTGCATGCCTTTAGTGGAGCCAAGAAGATATTAAGAAAAATTAAACATTTACAGTTTAAGTAATAATTTACATTTAATACGCAAAAACTGACCAATACGTTTTCTAAATTTTCAAGACAAGTAGCAAGACCTGGAGGTATGCTGCTATAGCTCTTTACTTTCTTTTGTTTGTACAACTTAATATATTGTACTGGTCAGCAATAAACAAGTTCAAATCAATACTGCATGTATTAGAATTGATACTCATGTGCATTTTTTTTCATAAGTGAAAAACACATTTTAATAAGGATTGTTGGGTGTGTGTGGAGGCTTTAGGGAGACTTTAGGGAGATAAGATTCTCAGGCACCAAATGAGCCATGTCATGACAAAACCAACGTAATGGGTTTGCCAGCCTGCGCAGGATCCATGCTGTTCCCTTACAAACCCTATAACAAGTAGAGAAACTGATAGCGAACAACGTGGATCCTGATCAGCCTGCACGGATGCGCAGGCTGGTCTGGATCCATGCTGGTGGCAAATGCATTACGTTGGTTTTGTCTTGACGCAGCTCAAATGAGGTTAGCATTGTGACATGGTAGCAGTGTAATTCAGTAAAAAAGATAATTACTAGTCTTGAAAGGGGACCTATGATCCTGAAGACAAGAGGAGTTTAAGATGAAATACTTTTGTGATTAATCAGACATGAAATTGCAAGAAACATTAACCCAACTGAAGTCATACTAGTATGACAGTCAAAATATTCTTTTAATAGTCATGCTGAAACTAAATTATATTTCATAAGTGATTTTTTTAATTCATTAACTACCAATGCAGCTAAGTATATTCATACATGCCATAACGTCCCGGATGCCCGGGATTGTCCCGGAAATCGGATGTCTGTCCCGGAGATGTCCCGGGCATCGATTTGATCCCAGAAAAAAAAATATTTTGCAAAATTTTCATAAATCAAATCTCCCACATTTCACCTCTCGATCGTAAAATATATTTTGACCTGGTACACATAATACACAGGAACGTTGACACAAGTTTACAATAAACAGCCCCCCAATATCGACTATCCATTCCCCTCGGCAATAGCTTTCTTCATGCATCAGCAATTAACGTTCTCTGTGGAATTCGGCAGCGTTTAATGGTTGGGTTAATGGTTTACGGCCCTTAACAATTATCGTTAATCCCCGATAATCATTAATTTTTAGATCAATCGATTACTTGCCGAAAGTCTAATAATTACAAACAATGTAAATATATCCATCAAATAAAAAATTAAAGGTGTCAAATAAATTAACTTGCTGTGTTTGTTTTGATGACTGGAAAAATTGCGTTACGTGACATGTAGTAATTATCACGAATTTAACATATAAAGGGTGAACAACATGGTTGCGCCCATTCACCGGGTTTATAACTTACAACTTACTTGCTTTTAGGGAATAATAAATGAAATAAAGAAATACTATAAAATGATAAAGATGTCGACCTAAAAGACTACTTCTTAAACTAGTAAGTTAACTGTTTATCATTAGAATTCAGGAGAAAGTCGTCCTAATTTAATAACGTTATACGATTGACACACCCCCTCCCCCCTTTTTCACAACTGCCTCCACATCCATTATTGCCGCGATGAAAAGTGTCCCGGAAAGCTGTCCAAAAATTATGGCATGTATGGTATATTCCTTTGAAATAAAAAACATCTTTTATGACAAAGAGTTTCCCTAAGAAATCTTGCAATAATAACTCTTTAACCCTTAACCTGCTAAATATGTGAATTTCCTTGCTTTGATTTTGGAACAATCTATTCAACATTAAACAGATTTCTAATTCAAAATACCAATATTAAGCTACAAACAGTTTATAGACCCGGCCAGTCAACATGGATTAGCAAGAAAATTTTGGACATGTGACAGGCTAAAAATGGCCTCAGGTGGATCTTAGGGTAACAAGTAACCAATGCTGAAAAGCCTTTTACTCTATCTCAATCCATTGAGAAGTTACAGCACTTTGAAATCAGTTTTGATGGAAAAAACAATACAAAATAGTGATTTTTCACAATTTTGAGACATCCCCCCCACTTGCCATGGTAACAGGAAATTAAGATTGAGCATGTTGTTACAGAGACTATGGTCCAGTCAACATTTGTGCCAAGTTTCATCAGTATTGAAGCATTTTTCATAGTTTCATAGCAGTTTGAACTTATTACAGGAGGCTTTTCAATGAAAACAGCCATTTTTCACAATATGCTCATGCGGTAAAAGGTTAAAGCTCCTGGGAAAACTACATAGACTTGTAATGTAATGTTACTTCTATTTATAACAGTAAACACTGAAGAAAGGATACATTCTTTTCGTGGTAGTTTTCTCATAACCTCTTTTTCATCCTCTGTTAACTCCACTGAAATTAATGCAAAAGTATGACAGCTTTTATACTTAATATATGGCATAAATAAACATTTTATAAAATCTCATATCTACAATACTTTTACTTGACTTTCATCATCATTGTCTTGTTTGTTTTTCTGATTTTTTACGCAGGTTTTAACACATTTTTGATCATATTTTGGTGGTTGCCGTTAAAGAGGCTTTCCTGGACAACTAGTAATAACCAATTTCTCAGCAAGTGACTGACTACTTAAGATTTCTGAAACAGCAGTGAGAGACAAATGACCATTAGACTCAATGTCTTGAGACCAATTGTTACACGGCACACAGGATCCTACCAGTGATCCTTTAATTTGTAATAACGCTGCCCTATCTGAGCTTATAATTGTCAGTAAACCAGGAACCAGCTATTCAATAAGATTTATATCTTCATAATTTTTATCTTTTTATTTATTTTTTCTTCCTCAGGCTAACAACAAGAGTTTAACATGTCTGGTCAGATTTTTACCGCCATGTGTCACAAAAAACTGCCCAACAATATCTTTACATGAAATATATAAAATTTATTGACAAAATAAATCCCTTAGAAAGTGTACGATAATTTAGTGAGCATCATTTACCAATTTAAATGTACCAGGACACTTACCTGCCATCTCCACTGGTGTTCCACCTCGAACAAGATCAACTTCTTCACACCAATGTGGCTGGAAGTCCAGTAAAGGTTTTATAAGGACATCTTCATACATGTCTGCTCTAAAGTAACACAAGCAAACTACCAGTAATTACCAAACAGTTATACACTCAATCATTGTAAGGACGAAATAATGCATAATACATGTTTTCAATCATGCACCCAAAATAATAAATTTTGAACATATTCTAGGAATGTTTTCTTACTAAAACTTTAATCTCTTGTGACAAAAATATACCTTTGATGACTTTATCCTTTCCACACTTCTGTATTATACAGTCACTGTTAAAGTGACTTTTTAATAAACTTAAAAAAGGTTGACAACCCAAAAATACGCCCATCGTGCGTTATTCCATGCTATCATACAAGCTCCTACACGTATAAACCATCACACTTAAAAAATTTTAATGCTTCAATTCAAAATTCACCGTCTGCGCCAAAGAATTCAAAACAACATTGGAGAAAAGGCAAACATTCAAAAATCACAAATCATATCCATCGTTCACCTAATAATTACATTGTGCATTTCATTTAAAACCTTACATGTAATGACCCTCTCAAATTTGTCTTTTTTCTGTTGAATCCGCTCTTCTCGTCATTGCTACACTCATTGTTCTGGATCATACAATTATTTAAAAAACCCAAATTTCCTCCTAAAAATCTCTGTGGATAAAATATAACTTGTAATTGTGAATTCGAAACCGTTAAAAATCTTGCTTTTTTTAACCTTAAACTGCGTTTTTTTAAAAGGGGACTTGTCAGCTTCCCTTTTTTGGAACTGTCCCTTTACCAAATTCAGAAATACATATTATAGAGATGAAAATTTAAAGTAAGGCAGCCAACTGTTTAGAGCTTGATCATTAGCACTCATGTGCAGGCCGGCAACACTGGTGACAAACACTTATCAATTTAGGTTTCAGTATGGTGAAGGTTAACAATGGTAGTTGAACATCTGACTTCAAAATGGGTTCATATGTTATAGGTACTTCATAAACACACAATGACATAATACATTTAACTATCATTAACAATTATTCAGCATAATATGGGTGCATCTTAAAATAATTATTCAAGAGAATTATTCAGAGAATACCAGTGAATCTATCAAAGGAAGGCTCGAGCCATTGCCAAACACCTGAAAGAATATTTATTTATGACTTCACCACAGGAATTAAATTGAGCATACAGTTTCTCCCCATTTTTCAGACATCTGCACTCAAAAAGGTTTACACACTTAATATTTTCAGATAGTAAATAATTTAAATATTAGTTGACTGGGAGGAGAGAAGGTCTATTATCTACTTGTAGCCTTGAAAACGCCCCTGACTTTTGGTTAGCAAAGCCATATTTTGGAGCTCCTGTTAATGTAGGTTGTTCTTTGTAAGGTACTTGTTCTACACGCCAGTCAAAATCTTCATCTAATTCATCATCATTATCAGCTTCATCATTATCTTCCAAACCACCATCATCTAAACATAATTTAAACAGTTTTTAAAGCAATGTCAACATACATTTGTATTTCATTCATTAGCAATTGGTTCCATTTGTAAGTCAGACCAGGACTATATAAGGACGAATTTCCAGCTTTACTGGTGTTGGAAGACCTCAGGTGGAACTTGGTGCATTTTTTCAGGCACAAACAAGCACCTTCCTTAAGCTATGTTTATGATAATGAATGCATTCCATAATAAATAGGGTTAATGTACGTTTTTCCATGTTACAACGTCTGCAGAGTCCCGAGGAACAGTTGGTGCCCGAACCCAATAGGGCTTCTCACTTGAGAGATATAATAAAATGCTTAGGAGTGTAATTACTTAGTTTATTGCTCATCAGTTAATAACTGTACCTGCTGTTACAAGAAGTTTTATATAGTGCCTCGGCCTTTATCTATTTACAGGGCCTTACAATTAAATTATCAAAATGTTTGACATTTACATGGCTGAGCCTTTAACAAATATTTCACAGACCTTACTGTTAATATGCCTACAAATTCTGACCACATTTTAGTTAAGTGTGTAAAGCCTTCTTATTACCCAATTATTACAATGTTCAGGCTTTTATTGAACAAACTGAGAGCAACTGTGCCAGGACTTTAAATTAAAGAAATACTTGACCTTAAAAGTGCACTACATTATGTACATCTTACTACAAAATTTTAAGCGAGTTACCATGCCCAGCCTTTTAACTGCAGATATGTTTGACAGTGAACACATTTAAACTCATTTTAATATATTCTAGATCCCAGGCCCAATATTTGGATCATGGACAAATAACATTCAACTATTGTCTATTGAATAATGGTATAAATAATAACAATTTGCTCAAGAAATAATATATCCCAAACAGTGATTTTATCGCTCAATAACATCACTGTTTGGAGTTAGGATGCGAGGAATTATATCTCGAAGGCGTAACCCGAGTGATATAATGATGCTCATCTGAACGACAAACAGTGATGTTATCAAGCGTTAAAATCACTGATATGGATATATCATTTCGATTCACACACGATATCAACAAAAAAATGCTGCCGTACCTGATATTAACTTAAATTGTGCCCGTTTTGTTTCCGTACTTATTTTCAGCACGTCACATTTTAAGAGGTTACGTAACGCGTATGATTAAGTCACATGTCTAAATATAGAACGTCAAACTGTGATTTTATTGCATAATAACACAAACTTTCAGTTCTTCTATGTTCAATGGGGAAAATAAGGGTCGTGTTAGAATATAAAATAAAGCACATTAGCACAAATTTCATTACCAATTAAAGCACATTATCTTATCTAAGAAAACGTACCAATAACCTCAATCAATGAGGAGGATGTCGGCTTCTTTCCTTTAGCTTCCAACAGTTTAGTAAGCATATCAAGGCCTTCAAAGTGCTCGCCTGGAGTCTGTTTTGGTACCACAATGACAAATTCTCCTGAAATAATATATACCAACTTATCAGAAATCATGTTTAAACTCACTATTACACTATTAAATTCACACATAAAAGTTAAATCATAAATCAGGGCACGAGACAACTTTTGATGACAGGTACCCATACCCTTTGGAAGGGGAATACATGTATTTAGTTGTTTTAGGACTAATAAGGGAATTTTTAGCCATAATAAAATTTACCCTTACACTATTGGCTTTTAACGTGGTCACATTTGCATTAAGAAAAGTTGTTTAGTTCTTTATATCATTCTAAATATACAAATTGATCAACAAATATAGAGCCTTTTTAAAAAACATTTTCACCATATTAGCAGGGGCTGATATATGGCCCAATTTTCAACCCAAATAACCTATTTTCTCGATTTTTAAAGAAAATTCCCAATTGCAATCCAAGAAAATTCTAACTGTTTCAACTTTCTGAGAAAAAAATGAACCATTTTGTCTTGCTATTTATGATCATGCACATGTTCAAATTTTAAAAGTCATTGTGTAAAGTAGTTGGTTTTTTTCTTACTTAGTATTTTAAGTGTGTATGTACAACATGTTAACTTTTCAAGAAAAGACGAAATAATGTGGTTATATTTAACAGCCAAGAAAAAGATCTGGAATGTCTTCCAACAGCTTACTCTCTCAGAAAAGTGATACATCATGAGTAGTCACTCTAGTAGAACCACCAACCTTCTATAAACTAGCTGGATAGCTTCCTCGCATGAAAAAATCCAAAGTCCCTGATGGGATCATTGTGATTGTAATAAGTCCATATTGATGTAGAACCACTGACCTTCCTTAAACTAACTGGATAGTTTCCTCACAGGAAAAAATCCAAAGTCTCCAAAGTCTCTGATGGGATCATTTTATTGTATTCAGTTCATGGTCTAATTCTTATTTATTTATAGAAACTTACCATTGTCTGCATTATAATCAGCCTTCTCTCTGCCATCTTCAACTATTTTCCCTGGTAATGCTAACCTGCATTTGAAAATAACATTTGTCAAATCCTTTAGATTTTAAACTGCAAATATAAAATTGTCTGACAATGGTGACAATGACCAAGTCTGTACAGAAGTACCATAGGTACTGCACATGAACTTGTTAAAGTGAACATTTCAGCCAAGTGTAAAGAAAATCCTTCATGGGTAATAGTATATATAGAGCTAACATGATACATGTATCATCTTAGGGGTGTCCATGGTGGAGAAGTTAAGGTTGTTTACTTCAAATCACTTGCCTCTCAGCCTCTCAATCATTTACACGTCAAGCATAATCTCAACCTTCAGCTGGCACAAGGACATGAATTCTTTACATTGCCTTGTAGAGAGGAATATTTATTTCAGCAAGGTCTATAGCAGACATTGTGGTGACAGACTGATCGACAGAGGCAACCAAGACGCAATTGAAGTATAACTCCTCCAACATTTATTTAGTGTGTTATTGCAAGCAAAACAAAGTTTAAAATTCAATAAATGAAAAATACTACCTAAGGAAGTAAGGTTTGGAATAAAATTTGAAATCATCTTCTTCAATGAATATTTCAGTCTCTGCAACCTGTAATAAATCAGGTCAAATTTAAATTTTTCAATATACCTGTATATCTTACAATATTCAATTATGCCATATTTTTGATATACACGTATAATAAAAGTAAACCATAAAGTTCCATGAAGCAAATAACCTGTAAATATATAGGATGGCCAATTTCCACCTTACAAGCATTTTCACCTAAAGTAGCCTCTCTTTTTCCCAATTTCAAAAAAATATTCCCAACAGTAGCCTAAAAAGTCAAACTTCTAATAAGAAAAGACTGGTAATATGATCATACGAATGTTTAAAAACTTGTATAATCATAAATAAGCAGATTTTAACTTTTTTAAATTTCTGAAATTTCCCAACATGTTGATTAATTTTCCCCGATTTTCCCAAAATAACTGGAAAAGGCCCAGCTATCCCTGATGGGAGGTCTTGACTGGATCATCCTCTCTTTCTAACAAACATAGACAGCATAACTTTTCTTGCATATCAAACAGGATTATCTCCGGTTAACACAGGTGCTAGAAAGCCCTGTCTTACACCCCTCATGTAAGACAAGTCATGTGCTTTAAATGACGCCATTGCCACGCACTTTTATGAATGAATTGCGTTCTAAGGATGACATCATTTTACCGTTATGAAGTTTGTAAGTTCCTAAACTACTTTAGAATAAAGTGTGTAATGAAAATATCAGTTTTCTTATTCATGTTCCAAAAATAATTGATATATTTAATATGCAAGAAAAAGAATCAAGCACTGGCTTTAGGTACAGACAGGTACATCTAGCTCTTGGGGTAACTGTTTAGCGGAAACTCTGCAGAGCCTCGTTTCTGCCGTAAACAGTTATCCTCGAGTCAGATATTCCAGTCTGTACCGGCAGCCAGTTTAAGATTCTCATATTATCCCATCATGTCTATAAAGATTTATTTTTATCACTGTACTGGCATTAACTTCTCAAATTGCTGGAAGCCTTTGCCACCAGTAAAGAGCAAGGCCAGTATGTGTACTTTTACCATGCTCTATGCAATGTAATTCGACCATTGGTCCGACAAACCTAAAATTTTCATCTTTATATACCTAAATTTGATAATGGACAGTTCCTGAAATGGAAACTGGACAAGTCCATGTAATAAATTCAACAGGTTACGGGTAGAGTTGATATGACTTACCTTGGCAAAAGGAGCTTTTATAATCACAGTAAGGAAATCTTTGTCCTGCCTCACCTCAAATGCTGGTGTCAACATTACACTTTTTTCTGTAGAACTTCCTGAAAGAAAAGAGTATTACAAGTAGGATACCTGTAGGATGATTCTGGGCTCGGAAGGAAGGGCTAAGCCTTTTTTAAGCCCCTCTTCTTCTGACAAACTTTCACCACTACTTCATCTTGGTCTCATCTCTAGTACCAGGTCTAGACTAGTATATCATAATATAATATTAGTGCATCAGGGCTCGAGCTACTGGGCGATTCGGGCGAAATAGTCGCCGAATTCCGTCTGACTTCGCCGACATCCTACATGAAAGCGAAGATGAAGTCGCCCGATTTTATTGATCCATTATTGAAAATTACCAACAATAACTGTGAATAACATGTTGTGTGTGTTTGCTTTGTTTACCCTCGCCGCCGGAAAAAGGGACTGTCATGCATCTCAATCAACGCGTATGTCATTAATCCGTTTGTTTACCAACATGTCATAAAAGTCTAATTAACAGACACTCGAGGAACAATTAGACTCCGCCCACGGCGAGATTACCGATACGTGCGAGAAACCAATCGTAATTCACGTTTCAATCGAGGCGACATTATTAAACCAATCATTAAATCGCTAACATACAACTACCAGTAACAATTATTTATGATGGACGGATCAAACGTCAATTAAATTTTCACTATCGAATGATTGTCAGAATTAAGAGGACCGCTCGACATATAACTGTAACGGTAATTTTAAATGAAAGTTTTGATAACCTTTTTTGTCGACGAGTTAAATTTGATAAAATTGACGGCGTATTACACTGTATTTATTACAAATATAGTTAAATTAAAGATCGTTTCTTTCGTTATCTACTTTCATTTTCTTTACAACATAAGTGAATATGAATATAATGTCCGGCGCAAGCTTTTTAATAGTAAATCAGAAGGGAATAACTGTTAATCCACCCATGATATGATCCATGATAGGAATCAACTATGGCTTTTTTATCTTCATTTAATGCAATGGTTGCATTACATGATACTCATTCTTATTATTACTTGTTTCAAACTACTTTTAAATTAAAATTGAATATTCTGTTGTAACGCAAATCCAATTCATTTAATAAGATATGTACAGTGAGTCAACATAATTTCAATAACATACAAAAAACATCGATAAATAAATCTCCTCACTTCTCCCTAAAGTCTCCCCACTTCTCCCTAAAGAAGCTTGAGGGAGAAGTGACTTCTCCCTAAATTTTGAACCTAGCTTGAGCCCTGTGCATAATGTACCAATATGTGTATGATGCACTAATTGGTGTATTTTATGATGCACCAATAGGTGAACCAGTCTATTAGTTTATACAAATTTATTTTAGTTTGATTGTGATGGAAGCTATAAGCTTATTGAAACACTCTCGAATCCGTTCCTGAAACCAACCAGTACTAAGCAATGAATGTAAAGTTTCTTGCTCAAGGAAACAAAAGCTTGCCAAAATACCGCCATATTGAATTCCCGGAGGTACAGCAACAAAAAAGACTTAACATTTTTTACTTATATAAGAAGCAATAGTTATTTATTCTAAAATGTACAAAACACACTTTTCCACACAAATATTTCTCTGATGAAAATCCTTGTCGGCAATGTAAGCAATATTAATTCACGGATATCGCTGTAGTTTAAACGATAGCGTGAAAATCTGAGACTAGCGGGAAAGCCCCATTATCACCGAAGGGCCCAAAGGATTGTTTTTTTGTTGGTGTGAATCGAACTCTTGTCTATTTTCCGAGTTTTCTATCCGTTGTTTTTAATATATATCTGTGATAAAGTATAAAATTCTATAATCATATTTTTTTCTTTTTTATTTGATTTTCTTTTAAATATACACATGTAGTCTATAGCTGGGCAAGTCAAAGCCCAGCCTCTGAATTCCCTATATAATGTGGGATTATGTGCCTTCAGTTCCTCAACTTTAACTTCTTCATTAAAAAAAATAAAAATATTTAAAAATATTGGGAATTTGTTTAAAAAAACAGATCATTAACTTATCCCAGCGTAAGGAAACGTGATTTGAAAACAGACATAGCCCGTCACAAACGTGTCTCAATGTCACTTTGACAAGTCTAATTAGACTAATTTGACGGTTTGAACTGGGGCGAATTGTTTTGTTACGAATCGTAACGGGACGAATATCAAATTATTCGCCTACAGAAATTGACAGGTTAGAAGTCGTTTGTACAGCATTTAAAACATTTTCATGACATTCTTGTACACTTACAGACAAAAAATATAATGTTTCAAAGATGTCGTTTCCCCGAACTACACTCGAATCTTCACATGTGCTTTAGCAAAATAATCGTAAACCAATCGCAACTTTTCGCCTCTTGTCAGTCTGGGGATAATCGGCGAGGTGTTCCAAACACTCCATTTCCGGTTAAAAAAAGACTAAAAAATTTGTAACAAAAAATGTACAGAATAAAACTCTTAGTCATCTCACTGCAAGTCCGTTACAAAGGCAAATACATTTCACAAAATGCATTTATAACAGAACAGATTTAGGCTTACAAAACTTTTTTTTTTAAATCTAGCTCTATCAAACGTGCATGAGTCTACAATAAAAAATAATTAAAATTATTTCACAAATAAATTGAATACAGTATACAAACCAGTCTTTAAGTTGAAGAAACATGTTAAAAAAGAAATATATGAATACTAGAATAATGACTATTTGTTTTGTATTATACGAAGTTCACTCATTGCGAGTAACAGAAGGTGTGGCATTTCTCAAAAGTGTTCTAGATCTTTTGCTTTCATGCAAATCAACCATCGCTAAACCAGTTCCGTTTTTTAGTTTAATAATATTTTATTGCAACTATATAATACATGTAAGATATGAATAACACACAAAGAAACAAAAACAAATGTACATATAAGTATAGTGCAAATGGGTTGGGCTACAAGTTATTACAACATTAGCAACAGTCCTTCCCACAAAGTCAATATAATACATATATTCCGGATAGTTTCATAAGAATAGTTACACAAGAAAAGCATTGATGCAAAGCATCAAAGGGCGTCCAAGCAAGAAATGCATCAGGTGCAGATGAACTAGTAGATATATGTTCATAAACTGTTCAATGGTTCATTGGTTTTTACCAGAATTGTATATCACTTATGAACGAAGGAACGAAAGACATTGTTCATTATTTATAAATTTGATTGGCATGCTAGAAATTAGAATATTACTTGTTATTTCTTTATGATCGTGATTATTAATAGCAACGGATATACATGTATACAATCATTTATAATCCATTTGAGTAACGCATGATCAACACCACACTTGTGTAATTGTCCCTTATTATGTTATCGCTACTAGCGAAGACCCCCCTCTTAAGGTATCTGTTCACACTTAGTAACAATAAGACACTTGTTATATTACCATGTTGATCATGTTGAGCATAAATGTTTATTATACACTAATTGTAATATCTTTTTTAATAAAAAAAATACAGATTTTATGAATATTGTTTGCTTTTCTTTTTTTGTGTTTTATGCACTATTTTAATACTGAATTTTTACGTTTACTTATACTATTATTTTAAGAATTCAATTGTCATAATGACCGACGATTATAAGTTAAAACTTAACTGCAAAAAGTCAGTAAATTATGGTTAATCTTTCAATATATAATATTGTTTATTCTTAAACCATATACATGTACATTTGTATTTTTCTTTATCATTTCTTAAGTTATCAATCAATTGAATAATTCATAAAATCTGATTTGTAACTTTGAACAATTCCTCAGCATCTTTACTAAACACGAATAACAAATTAAATAAAATGTTTCAAAGTTGATAGTGTCATATTAATGCCATAAAAATGTACATTTTTTCTCAATTATTGTACATATTTATTGTTTTTATCTCATATAGATAAAATAAAACATGCGATGTGTGTTGTTGGTTTTTTTTCGAAGTGTATGTTTAATTATCTATAATAATAATCAATAATTTTGAGAGTTGATCTGTGTTTCTTAATTATTGTAACCAAACTAAGTGACAAACATTCATTTTGAAAAAAAGCTTATTTATCTCACGGATTTATATTAATAAATCCGTGTTTATCTGTAAAAATATTTGTTCTGTTCTGTTACGATATCAAACATCTACTCCAAAACCGGGAGAGACCGGACAATAAATTTGTGGTACTATTCGCCGGTCGTCAAAATAGACCAGGAGAGACCGGGATTTACCGACAGGAGTACATCCATCTATAAATAGATTTTCGGAATATTTAGGTCATCAACTCATCATTCTATTTACAGCTTTCGGAATAACATACCATAATAATCCACTGTGTACTACAAAATGATAAATAGAAATACCCTGAAGAGCGCGATTTATTTACGGAAAAGGTTATTTAGATTCTAATTTGAAAATGTTTGCATTGCGAAATTCTCCAGTTCGCTATTCATTGTACAAATCGCGACTAATTAATAATCAAGCACCCTCATACCAATCGGAATGATCGGCTATTATTATGAACAACTATAAAAGGCTCGAGAAGTTGCTGTCGCCCTTTCACAAAATCTGATTTCATTACATAAAAGGGCGCCGCGCTTCGGCGCGGACGCCAACAAGTGGAAATGAGAAAAAAATCAAAACGCGCACACACGCACGCACACAAACGCACACGCACACACACATGTATTTATATATTTCTTATAAATTATCAATTAAAATGCTCCATAGAATTAAGATAGAACAGGGTCTTTCAAAAGAAATTTCCGAACAACATATGTTAAACAATAGATAGTACAAATTAACCAATCGCCACAAAGTATATACATGTATCTAAATCACTTAGTTGCCCATTTCAAACCGGTTTTACTTGTGTAAAAATGCACGAGAAACCTGTGAAATATAATGGAATAAATTTCAGGGCATATAATCACATAATAATACTAAATGCGAGATGGGGATAAGTAAATAAACATAAATAAATAAAATTTCATTTTGATTAGCTAACACTATGAACATAGACTTTGTAACAATGTCAAAGATATTTGAAATAAACCACATTCAGCCAAACGATCCTTTCCCTAGTATCTTAATTTTAACTTAAATCTTACATGAAAGAAATAAAGTAAGTGAGATAAAAATTCAAAATTCAACTTCTTGTTGTAATATTCTATACATTATATATTAAACCCCCCCCCCCCCCACGCCGCGCCAAAAAATAACAAACAGGCAATAAAACAGTAAACAAGCCCAAAAAATCTGATACACATGCCTTTCTGCTTGGTATTTGTAAGTACGCATTTCCAAACTGGTATTTCATATCAAAATTGCTCCATAATGATGAGAAAAATGTTCAACGTGGTATACTGTAGTATTCTTCGATTACACGTGAAATCAAGCACGTTCTTTTATAGATATTTCAGCTTTGTTTTGGTTGATGGCTCTACAACAGTAGTGTCGAGGGCTCTCATTTAAAAAAATATCACCAAAATGTGAAAGAGCCACTGTTGTAGGGGCGAGTTTCTCGTGTGTTACGTTATTTTTTTTTTTTATTTACATGTATTTATATTTTTTAGAAATAAAGAAGTGACAGTACAAAATAGTATTTTTAAGGAAAATTCTAAGTTCAAGGGGAGATAAATCTGAAAATATTGGTGCTAGAGTTATGAACCTTGTCACATAAGATGGTGATGATGATAAGGTATATATATTTGAAGTATGAGGTTGATCCCTTAAGAAATAAAGAAGTAACAGTAAAAAATAGTATTTTTTAAGGAAAATTCTGAGTTCAAGGGGAGATAAATCTGAAAATATTGGTGCTAGTGTTATAAATCTTGTCACATAATTTGTGGTTGATGCTGACGCCGGGGCGAGTAGGACAGCTCTCCATATACTTCGTATAGTCGAGCTAAAAATGGGTGATCTAGATTTGTAAATTGTTGTTAGAATGCTGAATAAAATTGCTCTTTAATTAGCTATGTTGCTAGAACCACTGGAACCACTGCCATACATAAACACGTCTGGGTCTTAAATTCTTATCCCATGTATTCTATGATGTTGTCAAATTGTTGTTTATGATAGAGCCGACTGGAGGTAGCTTATGTGAACAGACTCAATCAAATCGAACCTGAAAAATGTTGTTTTGGCATTCTAATTTAGGCAAAAAAGACCAAGTTTGCATCTTGCAGGAGCTTATTTCTTCCACTAGCTATGCATTCTCGTTGGCAAAATATTGAGAGACACAACTGCAATAAAATTGAATAAATTTAATAACTTATAGGAATTTAGCCTGTAAAATACTGGAAAATAACAAGACATGTACCAAACAACAACAACAAAGGACGCCCGCGTATGTATCTAATAATGTATCTAATAATGAAGGGTGTATCTGAAAGTCTTTACTATACAGACACTCGAGGCGCCTTAAAATCTACATAAAATGTATATTTGTCAATCCCAGCACATTTTTATCATATATGTCAAAAAATCTTAATATAAGGTGTTTTGAAAAAGTTCCCATTTCAAAATGTATAATATCATTGTTTTTAGTAGTGTCTGTGGTCTACAACTTCAAAACATTCGCTAACTCGTTTTCCATGATTATAATTTAAATAAGGAAAAATGACATGAAATTGAAAAGTTTAAAATTCAAATCGGGCTTTGAATCTCACTTAAACGTAAATTTTCAATTTAATTCTTAGTACATGTTTATTATCTTTTTCATATTTTTCTAGTTATCTTTATAAAATTTTCAAATTTTATGCTTCTAGGTCTTGGTCCTCAGTGAAGATCCTTAAAAGATGTCCATAGAAAGAAAGGCAAACAGTCAAGGCAAAAGAATATCGATCAAACTCCACATATACGATTTATCGTCGCGCAAAATCAGTACAATGTAAGGGGAGTAACAAGTAGCAACCTATAGTAATTTATCTTCGGGTTAACTCCCTTTCAATGCACATTATGTTTCTTTAATTTTTCTTTTTTTTTTGATGTTTTCCTTCAATCTGACTATCTCAAGACTAAGACCAAAGAAATGTGTTAAGATTTTTACCTAAACCCTTAGTTCAAATATGAGTTATGTATTTAAAAAAGACAAGTTAGGCCATGGATGCAGCATAATATTATGTACATTGTCATTTACAATGTATTTCTAACAATTTATGAACTGTTTGATTAACCAATGCCTTGCCATGATCATTTATTGGCCGGAGACGTATTAGATTTTGTCTTTAATAAAGACTGCAATGACATAACGTGTGTAAAGGGTAAATCATCTACAATTGACCATGATTTTACAAAAGTTATGTCCATCGTCCTGATTCCAGTAACTACATTCATCACACGAAAAGTGTAACCGCTTGGTGAGTATAAATAGAGTACCAAAATGATAAATATATGTCGCTTAGATATCTGTTTTAAGGGATTCAAACAGCGGAGCGTGTTATTTTCATGAATTTAATATCATTTACGCTTTTATCATTGTAGCACACGCAAGCAATGCTTTTATTCAACGGTCATCTAATTCCTATTCGTTAGAATGCATTTCAATAAAAGATTGTACTAAAGAGGCGACTGTCACGTGAACTAGTCACGTGAACTTTTAAGAAAGATAAGTAATGGATACCGCAATTATAAGTAAACTACGTGTAATTAACTTGAGTATTTAAGGTACAACATCCCTAAACAGCGCGTACAACATCAGTACTTTTCGTATTTCTAATTTTGAGATCAGCTACATCTAGAAGATTTTCTATGTTCGTAACTCCATTAAAGTTTTAAACAGATCATTATCGACGTGTATTTT